CCTCATAATAAATGCTGAATATCATTTCTTGAGTCATTTTGTTAAAACCAACGATTTAGGGTGCGAGCATCCTAATGCGCCCAGCAGAAAGCACTGTTAAGATACTCCTGATGTGACTTTAGTTGTTCTTCTTCCCATTCTCGCCAACAGCACGTCAGCCAACATCCAGCTGATTAGTTAAAACTAGTAGCAAAAAGTGGATTTAAAAGCCCCTCCCGGCCGGCCCCCCTTCCCGGTACCAGTTAAATAACAAATGCAAGTGACTGAACGTACACGCTCATTCTTCGCGGGGGGAGTTTTACCAAGTGTGTGTTTCAGCTGTGACCGGATTTCTAAGGGACAGTTTAATACGCGGTGTGTAAAGTTGTAATTTTTAGCAAAATGTTTTTAGAGGAGGTTGCAATGTCTTAATTTTAGTCTTGCTAGCGGTGGGATATGTGACTGTAAATTGCTCTTTCCAAATAACGTCGTTTGATTGTGTTTAGGTGGCATTTTGATGAATTGTATCTTTTTAAAGAAACAATTGTGAGACTGAATAAGCAGCTCTTGTTTGGATATTATTAGTCCCTGAAATGCATATTTTGAAAACCACTTTTAGTATCTGCTCAGAAAGTGAAAGTTGTATCTGTTAATGTGAGGAGGAATCATCCATCAAACAGAGTGTTCAAGATATGACTCATGCTAATTTGTTGCTCTCACATTAAGGCTGGAGCGCGAAAATATTTTAGCCTCTGGCATTGGAAGTTCACAATGCCACATCCTACCACTCCGGGTCACGAATTACAGGTTTTTTTGTTTACTGCCCCCCAGGAAAGAAAAAATTAGTGATAGAACGAGGGTATTTTGCACGAGAGCCTGTCCCAGGCGATCAAAATATCGCAAAAATGTTGACTTGACATTAATGCTAGGTCAAGTAAATCCGTGGTCTGTGCCTGAATAAAAATGACTTGCGAGAGGCATGCAGCAGGTGCTGTCTTCCCTTCTCGAACAGCGAGTTAAAAAAAAAAACAACCCCGCCTGATCCTTTTTTAAAAGGCTTTAATGCAGGCAGCCCTTGGAAACTGAGGAATACTGCTCGTTGCAAAGAGGGGTTGTTAGAAAGACAGCGACGCTAATAACACTGGCTATCTGGGAACCAAGATAAGCAGACTTCTATAAGCAGCGGCTTCATAGCCTGTAGCCTTATGAATATACATTGTTTTATGTCCACCGTCTCTGTTGGTTCCGTAGGAGTAAGTGCATCATTACCTCGGAGTGCTGACGATTCTTTAAGGCTTAAAAATATCCATAAACTGCAGAAGTTTGAACCTTGTCCAAAGGATTTGGGCTCTATTATCCGATCTACTAGCTCTGCCTTTGAAACTGTATCTCTGGAGCTATCCTTAGGTGCTCTTAAGTGTCTTCTGATGCAGTTTAACAACATTGTTTAATGCTTATTTAAAGTTGGCTGTAAAACATTTCAGAACTTTTTAAAATTAAAGTTGTATTTAAGTACACAACTTGCTTAATATTGTACTTTCAATGTGTATTGTACATACTATATTCTTTTTATGCAATGTAGATGTCTCAATCGCTTTTTAAAAACATGGAAAATAAATGGTTGAAAATCCACAGTTGTCACTGAAGTCAGGCAAAAGTTTAATGGAGAAGCTGGAGCGTGTGCCGTGCCCTGATTTAGCAGCGTAGCCTCCAGGAGAGTTCTGCATTCGACTCTTCAGCAATCGCTGCTGCAACAGCCCTTAGGCTGTTGTTCGAGGCGGCTGCTGTGGCCAGGCGCGGTGTGGTAACGTTCAGCTTACCTGTTGCATCCCAAGCTTCGGCACAGATGGGACGTAAAATGCAGATAAAAACGGACGGGCTGGCCTGGCTCCTAACGATTCCTGCAAGTTTTGTCTCCCGTTATCATACCGAATCCGGGCTTTCTCCCGTGAACCGTTTTCCTGTCAGATAGGCTTGGAGTGTTAGGGAGCACATATTCATACCCACGTGGGTTAGTGTGTACCCCCCGGTGGCTTTTATCCAAAGATCACTGGCACCGTGCTCCCAAAAAATGAGTGGCTAAGGTGATGCAGGGCTTGTGCGGTGGCAGGAGGAGGTGGGAGCCCCCCTGCAGCCGAGGGAGAGTTGCACGGAGGTGGCTGTAGTCGCTGCTGCGATCGAGAGAGGCAAAGTGGCCGGAGCTGGATGCAACTAAGAAAAAGTCCCAAAGTGAGCTTCTAGAAATACTGACTTCTCCAAAGGACGCGGTGAAACGGATTCACTTAGGAAGAGTATTAGCCTGAGTGCATTTCATAAAGCTGTCCATCCTCAACCAACGTAAAAGTAGACAAGTTGGGGGTTGCAAGCCAGCACAGCGTTTTATTCAGCTCTCACAGCCTCGAGTCGTGAAGTGAAGTACGTGTTACTTTGTGAAGGAAACCGTAGGGAAGAAGTCCTGGAAGGCTGCAGTACTGATCTAATGGGAATGCAAGTTTCCCCAAACTCAGCTTCAGACCTGGCACGCTGCGTTAATAACGAGACTGATTTAAAACTGGTCTGATGAGACTGAGGCACATCTTGAATACAGATGCGCTTAAACTGGCTTAAGGTGCTTGAGTGATTTATTTTAATGCTCCATTAGGCTGAATTGGTCTGTGTGGTTTCTAAACCACTTTAAAATTGTGTCTGCTAGGGTTTTGTCCCAGTCTGACTGGGTGAGTTTTAATAACAGTGTTTTCTGCCTTAGAATAAACAGCGCGTAATACAAGCGTGGTGTGGAACAGCCCGTAGTGGCGCAGGCTGCAGCTCAGCTGAGCGGTGCTTGCTGTGGCATGCTCCTGGGGGGTCCCCCTCTGTCTCTTCCCTTTAGCTTCTCCCACTGATTCTGTAGTTCAGAGTCAGTTGGTATTGGCTGTTTTGAAACAGCTTTCAGGTCTGTTTCAATGTTTCTTCAAAACATTGGCTGTTTTGAAACAGCTTTTTTTCACCATCACACACACGCACCCCCCCCTCCCCGCCCTGCCCCGTGTTCTCCAGCATCTCTAGATGTCTACCAGTGCTTATCGATTAGCTTCTCTTCCTATCACAAAGTAGCCGCTGATGAAGAGAAAAAGAACATGTCGCTATTCTTATTAGCTTCCAGACGCAGAGAGCACAGTGGTCAGTGTATAAATGCGGCGGGAACCTGCTAAATATAGAAACGTGGCTTTAGACAGCTCTCGATCCAAGTTGCTTTGGTTTCAGCGCTAACACACTGGTATGAACACGTTGTTTGAATAAGACACCTTATCGCATCCTGGCTCTCTGTGGCTGCAGTTTAATTCTCAGTGTGCACTAAGCTTGGATTAAAGGTGGGGCGGTATTTTGCAACTCCCATCAGTACATTCATACGCTCCAAAGATAGTCCCAAGGTGGCATCTGATATGATCGTTAGCAAAACAAGTTATCTGTTAGGTAAAGATCAAACACTGCGTTAGTAAAAGATCTGACAAGCACCTAGTTGTTTTCCATAAGAAGTGTTGCCCTCCGGAAACTTAATAATTATTTGATTGTTATGATGTGTGCCTTCCTACGCTTACCACAGAATCTGCACAGCGAATGCATTTAAAGTGCGAGCGGTTTATCCTGTCCAAAAACAAAATTATGTAACCTTTTCCAGTTGTTACTTCAATGGCTTTTGGTCTAGAATGTGCTTTCCTGTAGTTTGTAAATGTTCTCACCGTGTCAGAGTGAGCACCCATCAATAGAATTTAAGTGTGAATGTTTGGTTTTAGGCACACGAAGCCTCACATCACCAACAGCAGGCAGCACAGAACAGCTTGTTGCCTCTCCTGAGCTCTGCTGTTGAGCCACCTGATCAGAAGCCGATTCTGCCCTTACCAATAACGCAGAAACCTCAGCCTGCACCAGAAACATTAAAGGATGCTATTGTTGGGATTAAAAAGGAAAAACCTAAAACCTCCTTTGTGTGCACTTACTGCAGCAAAGCTTTCAGGGACAGCTACCATTTGAGGCGTCACGAGTCCTGCCACACAGGGATAAAATTAGTGTCACGGCCAAAGAAAACTCCCACCACAATGGTGCCCCTTATCTCGACCATCGCTGGTGACAACAGCCGAAGTTCATTGGTTTCGACTATCGCAGGCATCCTGTCCACAGTCACTACGTCTTCCTCTGCCACCAACCCCAGCAGTAGTGCCGGCGCAACGGCTATGACAGTGACTCAGACGGTGAAGAAGCCCAGCAAGCCCGTTAAGAAGAACCACGCTTGTGAGATGTGCGGAAAGGCCTTCAGGGATGTCTACCACCTCAACCGGCACAAGCTGTCCCACTCAGATGAAAAACCCTTTGAATGTCCAATTTGCAATCAGCGCTTCAAGAGAAAGGATCGCATGACCTACCACGTGAGGTCTCATGAAGGTGGCATCACGAAACCATACACCTGTGGTGTTTGTGGAAAAGGCTTCTCGAGGTACCATGTAGAAAATCCCAGGCGAGCTCAAGTATTGGCTTTTCATAACCAAGAAGGGTTAAGCTATCATAGCGAGGGGCTAGGAGAACCAGACATCTTAGAAGATTGGTGAGGGGATAAAGAGCCTTGTTTACCTCTAGGGCGTGGGTCTTGATCTGAGCCAGATTGGCAGTGGCCAAAAGTGGTCACTCTTTTATGAGAGTGTTTTGAAATGATTTCGTGACCTCATCCAGGTCCCGTAGGACGCGTGTCTGTGTCACTGGTGGTGACCACGGAGCCCCTTTACCAGCCTTTGCAAAGGTCAATGACCGAATGAGGCATGGCAGGCAAACTGTCTCCTTGTCTCGGAGCAAGGTTGAGGCGTACTGACAGAGCATTGTGGGGGAGCTTGCATTGCTGCTGGCTGTATTTATATCTGTGCTTGCAACAGAGAGAACGTCAACCTCTAGTGCTGTTGATCTGTCACCTTCACACAAACGTACCATTTTCAGGTGTGTAAGAAGAACACGGTTAAGTTTTAAACTGCAGGTTGGTCTCAGCGTAACTATGTGTTACTCTAGCTGAAGGCCACTGCGTAGGTACGGGGAACGTATTTATTCTCGTCATGCAGAGGGATGTGGGCTGGAAGGGGTCATCAGCGCAGTGTTCAGCACCGCTAGCCAAGGTGTCCTTACTATGTATTTGTAACAGTATGCATTTTCTTTTCTGTTCCTCTCTTTTTTTGCAGGCCTGATCATTTAAGCTGTCACGTTAAACATGTTCACTCAACAGAGAGACCCTTCAAATGCCAAGTAAGGGTTAAAATGATTTATTAAGAACAATACGTTATTGTATCATTAGAATCTCAGGTGAATAATCTTTTCAGAACTGTATTTGCTCCTGGATTTTTCGTTGGAAAGCAAGTTTAGGAATAAAGTCGCATCCACCTTACGTACCAGCAGCACTGTAGTTCTGATGTAAGTGTAGAGGCAGTTTAAAAGGATGCTGTGGCTACTTTTTTAGGAGGATTAGAGGCTTTTTGCTTTCTTGGAGAACAACGCAGGTGCGCTGTTTTACGGTATGCTTAACTTAGTAGTAGGATTGTAACAGCGTCCTCAGCTCAGTGCTGATTACCAGAGTAATGTGTGCAACGTGTTTCTCAGCATATTTAAATCAAATATGTTTCTCAGTATATCCATTTAAAATGGATTGGAATAGTTGATTCTGGATCCGTTACTTTGCTGGAAGGTGAAAGCAGGTATTCATAAGTTGATGACTGAGTATAAGAGAAATAACTTGACTGTCCTTGAACAATTAACTGTTTTGCTTGGAATATCCATGCTTGTTCCAGCCTGTGTTTTAGTGACTCATCGTATTAAATAAAAGTCTTGTGTAAAAGGAATAGTGTTAGAAAAAGGTTTCATTTCCTTGTTCTGATTTGGATGGGAACAGAAGTAATTGAGCAACTTAAGATACCAAGTTCAGATTCGTGCAGTAAAATTGTTATCAAAACCCAACTTTGCCTGCTGTAGGTTTTTTTTATAAGCTACCTCTTGTTTTGGTAGGTACGACAACTCGCTATTTTAAGAAAGTTCAAGTAGTATAGAGTATGATTTTTGTCATCATTGTCTCAGAAGCCAATTTCCGTTTTCAGTCTCTGTTTAGTAGTTTGATTTTGGTTTCTCTATAAATACAGGTAAAACTTAAGGTTGTCAATATCCTTAGGATACTGTTTGCACCTACAAGGTAAAATAGGCTTACAGTGGGCATGTAATTCATACTGTGCTGATGCTGTCTGCACTTCAAGTGTAACTGTTGTCCTTCATATAGACGTGCACTGCTGCCTTTGCCACCAAAGACAGACTGCGGACACACATGGTGCGCCATGAAGGAAAGGTATCGTGTAATATCTGTGGTAAACTTCTGAGTGCAGCATATATCACCAGCCACTTAAAGACACACGGGCAGAGCCAAAGTATCAACTGTAATACCTGTAAACAAGGCATCAATAAAAGTAGGTGAACATTTTAAAAACATTTTTAATAACAATGTGTTTGCAAAGGGAATTGCCTTTGATTACGTTAAAATGCAAAAACATACCTATCAGTCTGGGTATTCACACCTATTAAAAATAGGTATTTGATAACAGGATCTTCTTCAGCTCAAGAAATTGGCATATGTGGAATTTAGTTTGCTGCTAGGCTGTGCTCTTATCCCTTAGGAATGCCCTGCAGTTTGTGAGAATAACCCATCTCTTGAAGAAAGGAGTTCCCAAGTTTTCTCAGCTTCTAAGTACAATGCTTCTTCCTGAACCGTACAGCCCTAAAAGTCCAACAGATAATCCTGGAGATTTTAGAATATTTAAGAACTGCTAAGATCTGCCAAGTTTCAGGTTTGAAGCCTCATCTAAAGCTCATCAAAATTAGGAGAAAGATCTCTCTGCTTTCTCTGAGCTTTGAGACAGGGGCTCAGTGGTTCCTCGCTCTGGCAGTAGCTGACAAGAAAAGCATTTAAATCCAGGCCCGATATGTTTTGGGCATGAATGGCATTTGACTGGTGGTGTGCAGGAGTTCAAATGAGATGTTTGTAATAGTTCCTTCTAGTCTTAAACTCTGTGGAAGTGCTGAAGCCTGAACCTGGGAGTGCCTAGTAAGCAAAGACAGACTTGACTTTCAAATCTTCCCTATTAAAATACCTGTAACTTAAGTTAACCTACATGGTTAGTGATATAAGACGAGTTTTCAAAGGAATCAAGAGGGACAAGTAAGGAATGTCTTTGGAAACTTTGTCCTTAAAGCCTTTTAAACAGTATTAATTTACATCTTTGCAGTTCCTGTTACTCCTGGATAATTTGAAGGTACCGGGAATGTCTAAAGTGTCTGATTGTTGAGCTTAATAAGAAATTTGGATGTGAAGTATTTTTCAAGGTATAGGGTTACAGCTCTGGCTTCCCAAGCCAGTTCGGTGGTGCTAAGCCAGTTCACACGAGGCATTTACAGCAGTTGTTAGAGGTGGAAATGATGAGCTGTAATGCGGCCAGAGAGTAGTAACATGCTGTTCTGTGATGTAAAGGTAAACTGAAAATTTTAAGCCATACTTGCAATAAAAAGTAAAAAGGCTTTTTTTTTTTTTTTAACTGGAGCTGAAGTTTAGAAAAGTGGAATCAGCTAACCGGCTTGAATTCTAGAGACTCATTGTAGTCTTTTATTTCATTCTTCCTAAAATACAAACAAAATAATCAGAAAGGAAGTTCATTTTTGGCAGTGAAAGCAGGTGCTTCTGACTTACACTTTGGTTTTTAGATCTTGGAAAAGTAGTTCTATAAAACACAGAATTAATTACATGGTTTTAAACACTTCTGTGATTTTTTGCTCTTGAAATCCTGCGAGATTCCACACGCTCTTTACAGAAGAAGCCTTTGTCATCTCAGCAGAAAACAATAACTTTTCAAGGTGAATTTGTGTTTTTACTTAATTGGCATAGCATGCATGAGTGAAGAGACCAGCAATCAGAAGCAGCAGCAGCAGCAGCAACAGCAGCAGCAGCAACATGTAACAAGTTGGCCTGGAAAGCAGGTAGAGACCCTGAGATTATGGGAAGAGGCCGTCAAAGCAAGGAAGAAAGGTAAAACAAAACAATATTTATGGTCTTGGTTTTATAAGATACTGGAGTTTACAGTTACATAGGGAGTTTAAGATGTCAGAAAAGGATGTCTTACATGAAAATTTCATTCTCGATGTTAGAAGTAATAGCTAAAAACTAGCAAGAGGATAACATGACCGAAATGACGCTGTTGTAAATGAACTCCTTACTACTTGGTTCCCTTTGGTCTCTGCGCTTGAATGTGTACGTAGCAGCCATCAATTATAAAGGATGTTTGTGTCTGCTCCAAGGCAAGAGTCTGTTTTTTTTTACTTGCATGTGGTTTTGGCTGTGTTTATGCATATTTACCAGTTGTTAACTAGTGTGCATATATATATATGTATATATACACACACACATACCACCCTCTGTCGTTGCATCATCATCAGTTTGCATGTGGGTGCTTTCTGTGTCCCTTTCATCTTTTCTCTCCCAGTTTATTCCATTCGCTTTATCATCACGTAACTGTCTTTGCATAAAGTTTTCTAGAACTCATAGAACTTACTCTTCTATCTCTTTGTTGTTTTTTTTTCATTACAGAAATAACGAATAAGTGATCGTGTTTTTCATTACTGCTAGCTCACAGCTTACATATACCTATGCTACTGTAATTGAAGATGAATAGCTTCCTGTTGTTGGTCAATGTGTCAGTTTTGTAAAGAACAGATTGCTTCAATTTAATGTCATTAGGAGTGTAGTAGTTTAAAGTCTCCCGTTACCGCTAGCTTACTCTTTTCACAACAGTTTGATTTCTAATGCCTCTCATGTGACTCTCGTGGATTACATGTTTTAGAAGAAATTCTTAGTAACCACTTACTGTTTTTCACTACCTGTTTTTAGTGATAAATGTTCTTGACTCACCTCATTTTTTTTCTTTTCTCCTAAACTTCCTTTCAGTTTCTTCAATCTTTTTTTCTTTTCTAGGTCTTGTTTGTGTATTAGGCTGCTAGCTCCTTTTGCCTTGATTGTTATTCCAGTTGAATTGAATTCTGTGATCACACAGTATAGAAGCAGCTTATTCATGTTAAAATGTAGCGATAACAGAAACATTAAATATCATCAGGCCACTAAATAGATAAAGCAAATGGGTGTCAGATTTAGAAAATCTCTGAGAATTTTTTTTTCTGCTTGTTCCTTCCTATGTCTTGTTCCCTCTTCCCTTCTTTTCTTATTGAGATTACTGAATATGCTTCAAAAGAAACAGTGGTTTTGGACAGAACGGTGGGTGAGGGAGGCGGGTGGGTAGAAGTGTTGTCAGATTGATGATATTAGCTTAACTTAATTGGGGAAGGGGCATGGGGTGGGATGTGTCTTTGCGTATTACTGTGCTTGGAAGGTAAAGCTAGACCAGTCAGTGCCATGCCTATGTGCTACTCTTTCCATGCTGGTTCTCCTGTGCTAGTGCCACCTGTTGTGTTGGCTTTACAACACTATATGGGATTTTTTTAGTCTAATACGATTTATTTTCACAGTTTGTTTTTGTTTTTTGTTTTTTTTTTTACTCTTTTTTTTTCCCTTCCTTTCCACCCCTCCTAGATATGGACTTTGAAGAACCAACAGTAACCCTTGAATGGGGCTAATGTTGCTTTCAAAGTTAACTCTGTCTTGGTACATTTGTATTGCCCAAGTGGCAAGAGTGGACTCTTTGCTCCTGGCTTACCTCCTGAAACGTGGGTGTAGACTGAGCTTGGTGTCCTACCCTACAAATGTGGAATAAGACACGACTTAGAAGTGCCGTAACGTTGATCTAGAATATATTTTTGTCGGTTTCTCTAGCAGTCATCCCTTCCCTTTACCCGTGTCCACCGGCCCGCTTCTGTTTTTGGAGCCTTCTAGTATGGGTAGCCGGCAGGTGGTGCTGATGGATGCCTAGTGATCCCTCCGCCGTCCCGGACCGCCGGTGCCCGCTCCCCCAGTGCCCGGCCCTGCTAGAGCCCACTGGCAGCAGGGCCGGGCACTGGCCTCCTGGGTCTCCCTTGTTTGGCACTTAATTCCTGCTTACTGCAAAACAAAGTAAAAAAAAAAAAACCAACAACAAAACAACCCAAAAAACCACAAAACAAAACAACTTGGTGTGGAGCTGTAGCTTATGTGAAAGCTGAGGAGATAGTGGGGGTTGAAAGATGTACTGACTGGGTAGCCTTGAAAATTGCTAAGTAGAAGTACTGTGATCAGTGGAACAATTTAGTAGCAATAATTAAGACTGAAATAAGCAGGTAAATATTGAAACAAGCTTTGCTTATCAGTCCCTAATAATGACTTTTTAAAACCTTCACAGAATGTCAGTTCACCTTTGAGAAGGCTATAGAGTACGTACCATTCGGTATGTACACTCTCTCCTCTATTTATAATGTTCCTCTTGGGAGGATTTTTTTGACTGTACGATACTGTTTTTATGAACATCGAAACCCTCTTTATAAGACAACCTCGCTTGACTTCTCAGGAAAAAAATATTGAATTGAAATGAACTGCATGAGAGTTTGTATTTCTTGTAGGCTATAGATTGTTAACAGTTTTAACTTACTAATAATTCCTAAAGAAAATTATTCCAGAATTTGTACCTGTTCTTGTTTGGTTTTGGTTTTTGTTTTTGTTTTTTTTTAAATCTTGTCCATGGTTTTTTATGTGTTAAAAACTTTTTGTCTTTTTATGTCTCATTTTTAGAAGCTGCTAACTTGTGCCAAACCTCCACTGCTGCTACTACGCCTGTGACTCTTACTACTCCATTCAATATAACGTCCTCTGTGGCTTCTGGGACTATCACAAACCCAGTCACAGTGGCAGCTGCAATGAGCATGAGAAGTCCAGTAAATGTATCAAGTGCAGTTAATATATCCAGTCCGATGAACCTAGGGCATCCTGTAACTATAACAAGTCCATTATCCATGACATCTCCATTAACGCTCACCACACCAGTCAATTTACCTACCCCAGTAACCGCTCCAGTGAATATAGCGCATCCAGTCACTATAACATCTCCCATGAACCTCCCCACACCAATGACGTTAGCTGGTCCGTTAAATATAGCAATGAGACCAGTAGAAAGCATGCCTTTCCTGCCCCAGGCCTTGCCCACGTCTCCTCCCTGGTAAAGAATTTCTAAACAGTATTAAAAAGGATTAAAATGGAATCCTTACCAGCAGTTCTTTTTTGGGTTTTGTTTGGTTGTTTTTTTTTTTGTTGGGTTTTTTGTTTTGTTTTTTTTTTTGTTTTGTTTTAGTTAATAATAAATTCAGACTAAGACACTGGGGCAACATGCACCATCAGAGACCATAGTAGCATCTTCCCCTGTTGATTTGGCTCATATGGTTCAAACTTGAGTTTCACTGGAGCACTTCATTTAAAGTAAGTTTTACTTTTTAGCTGACTGATGCTGAATTAGAGCAGATACTTACTTGCCAGAGTTTAAAAAAAAAAAAAAAGTAATTAAAAAACAGTTTTATGTTTTATTCCCCAAATTATAACTTAGAAAATTATTTTAATCTAAACACTAGCACAGACCCCTCTGTATCTTTAACAGGGTGGATGGCTAATTTTAACTTGCCGGTCATTAAGTCCACTGTTTCTGAGCTAGTGTAGAATCTTTGTCTGTGTTGATGTTTTGTTTTTTTTTATGAGTAAATGCATTACAATGTTGTCATTTAAAAAAAAAAATGCATTTTGGAGAAAATATGCATTTTACCTTTGGGAATATGATAATTTCAGGCAGCATTCCCTATGGGAAAGGTGATACCAGCTCTGATATGCAAAGCATATGATAACTTATCATTCTAACTTCAACATATAATAGGGATTGTGACCTGATATTTGGAGATGTAAATATTACCCAACATATTACCCTAAGGGAATATAGCATTGTAGTCAACGTTTTTTTAAAAAATCTGTTATTGTTTAGTGAGAAACAGCCATGGCTGACAGAAGAGGAGTCAAAATGTATGTAAACATGGTCTCTGAACAGTCAGACCCCTATGGGACTCTTATCTAGGAGCAAAAGGAGTGCTTTGAAACTTAAGAAATATTGCTTTAAGCTGGAAGATTCTGGAGGCACTGGGTATGATTTTTATGCCCTCTGCCTCCCAATCAGAGCCTGCTGGTGTTACAGCAGGGGACAGACGTGTTAGTTGTTCACTAGAAGTTTTGTCTTATATTAAATTGTATACAGTTTTTATTCTAACCACTAACTAGGTAGGATGCCCCTCCAGGACAAGCAGAGAGCGTCTTTTAATTTCTCCCCTATTTCTTAATCAAGTGTTGTGCAAATCTGTTCAACTTTGTAAATATTTGCAAACATCATCATTTTTACGTTATTCTTCTATTGTGTTAACACATTTCTATCAATTTGTGGGAGTTCTGGGGTGATGGTTTAAACTATCCAGCCCAGAACTTCTCCACAAATGGTCACACATGTTTAAGCTACATGTGCTTTTTATTTCTTAACCTGTTTATCTGTACATAAAGTAGAAAGCAAAATCTAGGGAAACAGATATACTTTTTAGACTATCATGTCACATATTCACGTTTTTAAAACTTTGTTTAAAAAAAACCAACACCCTAAACCGAAGACTCTACATTAAAAAAAAAAAATAAAATTGCAGTTGAGATGTTTTTATCTTAATGAAGTTGAAAGCTATGGAGATTAGCGTGTGCGCATTTTCACGGAGTGCTAGCAGGACTGACTAGTCAAAATGGACTGCTTCCGTTTCTACCCTGCCGTGTCAGTACAAGCAGTGATTGCCAGGCGGCTGGCTCAGGTGACAGGTATCTGTATCATTACGTGAAACTGTTCTAGGGGCTTGGACTACATAGTAAAACAAAAACAAAAACAAAAAAATAGAGCTTAGTGTAAAATAATTTTATAAATGATCTTTTGTACTTTAGGACATCAAATTGTACAACTTTTGTATATATAAAAGCTTAGGAACTTTCTGTTTAGCAGAAAGGAAACACATTCCTACACTTTTAATGTATATGTTTGTTATAATGTCCATGTAAACATATGCCCTATGTTTGTGCCTTTTAATTAGTTTGTCTCAATAAACAAAAATGTAGAGAAGAATATGTAGCTATGACTTTGTTACCACTGTTCTTACTCCAGATGTGTAGAGGTCTTTGTTTTTGCACTGTGTAGAGCATTGCGTGCAGGCAGCTGCATGACTTAGGCTGATACGGCCGAAACGAGGCGTGCGAGGCGAACGCACCCCAGCGAAACTCCTTCCTCCCGTAGCGTAGAGCAGCCCGCGCTGGTGGGGCCTTGCATGTTGGGATGTGTAGTTTCCAAGCCATCTCCGTCACCCGTGGCAGTGACACCAACTTGCACCAGTTTCACATAGTAGGTGTAGCGTTCTGGATCTGGGTAAATGGCAGAGATGACCCTTAGATGACGTTTGGGTGTCCCTGAGCTTAAAAAAACAAAAGCATTAAAAGCCGATATGAAAATGTGTACTAGAAGTGGTTATCTATGAATTACTTACAATAAACAGGTGTGAGACTTAATTGTATGTTGTCAATTACTGTAGTATTGACAGTGGGTCCTTTGTACAGCTAGCGTGCCCTGCCGATGTTATTTTTATCCCAGCAGAGTAGCAGTAGAATAAACACATTAAACACCGGCAAGGAGATTTTTCAACGTGACAGAGGCTTCCCAAACCACTAACCGTGGTGCTGTTAGCATGGGATAGGAAAAGGGCTGTTTCCTTTTTATTTTATGTTGGTTCTGCTCGAATGTACCTGGTTTATGTCCACAAAGCTACATTAGCTAATTGTCAACCTGTTTCATTTGTACTTGGGTAAACATTTGCTTTGTACTGTGTATAAATGGTTCCGAGGTGTGCTCCTCAGCTGTCTCAATACAGACATTAATTTCACTTTGTAATGCCATCATACGAAATACATTAAGCTGTTTTTTGACAAACAAAAGCGACCTGGTCAAGTAGTTTATACGGCATGCGTGCTACCTTATAATCGCTGGTTCATCCACAGTAGGGCGAGGCAATAAGGCCAGCTGCTGTCGGGAGACGACGTGTAGTTGCGCGACAGCGATGAGTGATCTGTACGGCAACTTGTGTCACTGCAGCGCTGGGAAGTTAAGACTAAGAAAATGGTGGATGTGAAGAACAGATGCTCCTGTTACACTGAGTTAGTTTCTATGCAGCTGATGCGCTTAGCCTAGTTTATTTCATGGAAACTTTTAAGCTGGATCTAGTCCAACATCCAGGGAAGCCTATTGCTGCCGTTGATTTGAGTGGGTTTTATATCGAGCCCATTCAGGTCTCCGATTGCAAGTAGTTCAATAGGGGTTTTATTTTTTTCTTCTTAAGTTTCCATAAGCATTCAGCATTAGGTTAATGGCGTAGCACCGACTGAAAGTTTTAAAGTTGTATTTTGCCTTGGAAGGATTTGTGCTGTCGGAAGTCAGAACAGTCAGATCAATGGCACGAAAACTCGTCCTGTGGGCAAGGAGAGCCTGCGGGTGCCTGGCTCTGCTGGCGAGGCACTGCGGGGAAGCGGGCCACGGGGAAGTAAGTACTGTGGCACAGCCACCCACGCTGCCAGGAAATTGTATAAATGGTTTACCTTGGGCACGTTTTCTTCTTTATTTGGAACACCCCACCACTTCCAGAGGGTGTTTGCGGTGAGGAGAAATTTGGGATTTGACCTTTTATGTCTTACCATTGGAGAGTTATACCCGAGTGTTGTAAATTGGGAAGATTTCTGTTCAGTCAAGATCGCGGATGAGAGAGGAACACGTGTTATTCTTGGCTTACGAGTTAAATTCTATTTGCCATTGTTCACAAATAAAATATTTTTTTTTCCCCTCTTACAATAACTTCTTCTTTAGAGTGGCAGAAGAAAGAAGTATTTAATGTGTTTGCATTTGTCCACGAGAGGTTTAAAGAAAAACACCAATAAGCCGTTTGAGCTGCAGCAATCCCAGGTTACATAAAGGGGCTGGGGCTGCCGAGGGATTAGTCGGTGGCATTACTGGTGGCGATAAGCCCTCCAAGTTCTGCTCGCTCTTCGCTCACTTTTATTTTAGAAACAGCCACTCTGAGCCGTATTTTGAAAACCGCTTGGGGTTAATTTTCAAGGCTGTCAGGGTTAGATTCCCACCAAAGAAAGAAGGAAGGAAAATCTGGATTTAAAGAACGCTCGGGTTTTTAAGAGCATCCAGTACTCCGGTATTTTTTTCATCTTGGGGGGTCCCCGTATGGGAGCTGAGTTGTTGAGAACCGGACCACGGTTTTTCACTGCTGGGTCCTTCTGAAAGCTCCTGCCTTGCTTTACTGGTGGCTTAGTTTATCCATCTCAGAAACAGATTTAATGGTATTTTCAAAAGGCAGCTATTAAAAGCACTTCAAGTTTTTAAATGCCTTTGAGGTCTGTCTCAGCGCTTAAGTGGACCTTTTCACCAGTGCTTTTTAGGCTAAATAGTAAGTAAAAATAAATCTCTTCCTCTCCTAATTGTCAGGCAGAATAAAACTTAAAACTTGATCCCCTTCTACCTATTAGTTTAACTCAGTGTGTTTATGCTTCTTCTCTTCGGATCATTCGCTCACAGCTTCCAGAGCAGCAACTGAAGGATGACAGAGGAACTACGTGCTAATTTTTATGTCAAAAATAGCTTTCACCTTTAAACGCGCAAGGCTCAATGACTGTCTTCTAATTAGAAAAGAATGCCTGAGCTTCTATTGCGAATCCGTTTTACAGCTGTGTTCAGATTTGACTGTCAGCCCGTGGTTAAAATTTAGTACTGAGGTCTTGACCTAGAAACAAACCTTTTTTGGTATTGGTTTGGAAAAAGTATTTCAGTGCTAAGAGAAACTGAGCCAGGCTGTCCAGCCAGCTCCCTCATCCCGGGCTGGCGAGAGCGTTAACGTCACATCATTTCGTTGTACATTGCATCTCTCTGAAGCCCAAGTAAAGACCGCTGGGAAAGCCGGGCTTAGGATTTTTTAAAAATAATAATAGATTTTTTTGGTTCCTCCGGTTTCTGGGCTAATTTGGGCCATTTTTAAAAGCCCTGGGTTTTTCTTTAAGGAAACATAAGCGCTTTTTGAAAGCCAGACATTTGTAAAACATTTCAGCGTGGGCACCTGGAATTACTGCTTGTATCAGAGTATAGACCTCTGCTTTCCTTGCAAAGCCTTTCCAATAGCCACCTCCAAAATCAACCCATTTAGTAAAAAAACAAGGGGCGTGTTCAGAATGTACGGCACCTTTTGTTTTTCAGAGAAGGCAGAAATATTCACCATTCACCTTTTCACTCAGTTGTTCTCGCCAGCTGTCAAGACAAAAACATTTGTGTTGTGTTTTCTGTGCAAGGTTTGTTTTTCAGGGAATTACCAATTTAGTTGGAACTGGCTGAATTAAATTCACTATTTTAATTCTTCATAGTTGTGTATTTCTATTCCCATTTCTTTTTACTTCCTAGCGTCATTAGCAGCTAAGACCCGTATCAAAGGACAGTAAAGAAATTCGATAAAATCGCCTGTTTTCCCCGAAACAAGCCTGGATTAGGAAAAAGAGATTGCAGTCAACAAAGCTCACTGCGAGGCGCCGTGTCGCAGAGGAGACGCTGATCTGCGCTTAACTTTGGGAAAGCAAACGTTGTGGCACATGTACTTGTACGCACTGAAAGCCGAAGGTTTGCCTCTAATGTTTTCACTCTTACTGATGTCTGTGTTCCTTGTCAAAGCCTTACAGATTTTTTACCCAGGCTAAGGATCGCTTAGCTGCCAGGCACGGATGAAACGACTGAGTGGGGAAAAACCTCTGCACGGAGGGCCATCCTGCGAGAGCTTTGGACCATCCCCAAATGTGTGCTCGGGGTCCGGCGTCCACAGACGTGCTTCCGAGCCGGTCGTGCTGGCCGCGGCAGGGTGCTGTGGGAGGCCGGCTGCGGTCGCCCGGAGGTGCAGTGTTCCTCCCGCAGCGTGTCTGGAAGGATTTAGAGAGCTATGAGGGAAGCGGAGGCCCTGACCCGCTGCCGTCTGCGGTCCCACTCCGGTCTCTGCAAAACGGGAAGTGTTTGCCCTGTGTAAATTGGCTCCTGTAATTTGTAAGAGGAGATCGCTTCCCGTCCTGAGCTGTTATGTGGTATGGCTGCAAGCTGTCAGACGCTGTAGCGCTGGATACCGGGGATGGCTGCTTTCTATCTGTGGTCGAAGTGATGCTTTGTTATAATCCGTCTCTCACGTTCAGCCCTTGGGGCAGGAGTGGTGCGTCCTCTTCCTTACCCCATGCGTGCACGGGGCTGGTGGTCTGAAATCCAGGAGCCTGGGATGCTCGAAAGGTGTGGAGGAGACCGAAAACCAGCCCCGGAGAGCAGCTCTCCTCCGGACACT